GACCTCAGGTAATCTGCCCACCTCGGCCTCCCAAAGTGCTGGGATTACAGGCGTGAGCTACCGCGCCCGGCCAGAGTTCGCTTTTTGATGGTAACTCTGGCAGGGATGTATAAGACTTGCTGGAGGGTGGTGGGCTGGGATAATGAGATCATTTAGGCTTCTGCCAGGTCTCAGAAGAGAGAACACAGGCCTGCACATGCAGAGAGGACAGCTTCCAGTGACATTCTGTAAACAGACTAACTGGATTAGGACTGAGGTTATGGGAAGAGGGAACGGTGGTGGCAGAGAGAGGTTTTCTTCCACATCCTAGAAGAAAAACTCAGCAAAAAATAAGAGTTAGGAGTTCATTTTTAGACATGCTGAGCTTATTGGTGCCTAATGGGCACTCGGGCTAGCAAGGAGATGTACGACTTGGAGTGGCTGAGGCTCTCTTCAGGACTAGGGCAGCGGATGCCTTTCTGAATCGAGCTTAGACAAATGACTTTATAAGTTACGCTGAGCTTTCCATGGGTGGCCTCATATCCTGTCAGTGTCTCACACGATCAACCTTGATGGCCAGTGCTTTCCTCCCAGAGTGGTCTGGTTAAGCGGGCTGGCCCTAGGGGCAGGGAGGAATTTGTTTTCTTTACAGCAGGCTGCAGCTAGACTGAGACTCCCTTAGGCCATCTACTCTGCACTGTAGCCCAGATAGAAGCAAGCTTGCTGGGGCGTGGAATTCCCCGAGCTCCAAAGACAGAAGACTTCTGCCTCAAATCCCCCTAGCTCCTCTTGGGTAAGATGGTATAGTGACAGGCGTATGGTAATACAAATGAACAAAGTGAGAATTAAGTCTGAGTTCAAACACTCGATGTTGCTAAATAACTTCTAGATGGTGATAATACAAACAAGATCCTAAGAACTAAAAACAAACAGACCCAAAACAAAAATCTTTCGGTCTCCTCATCTACTAGAAGAAGGTAGGCTTTTTACAGCTGGGAGCTTTTCTTTGCTATATTTGGCAGATTGAAGATATCTAGTCTATTTAGGCAAGGCCAGCCCCAACTGCATCTACATGGAGATGGAGTGAGGTGGCAGAAGGAGGTAGGTAGGCAGAGAATGGCAATGGAACGTTCTCAGCTGACACAGGAAGAAGTCCAGAGACGCAATGGAAAAGGCATGAGCCCATGAATGTGAGCCTTGGCGAGCCACAGAAGGCTGAGAGAAGCTGAACTGCCAAGGGGGAAGGGATGGCTGTGATGAGCAGGGAGCCGGGATCTGTCACCACAGAAGTGCTTCCTCTCTCACAGGTCCGGGGCCATTTCCACCACTGGCCTTCCTCAACCACACAGAGCAGAAGCAAGGGGCTGGCACAGCCAGCCCCACGAAAGAGCCAAAGGCTTCTTCCAGATGGGTCATCCAGCATGGTACCCACTGGGGAAAAGGAAGAAAAGAAATATTGTTGCAGACTCCTGGATCTTTGACATGCCTCCTCTCCTCTCCCCACCATATGCATTGTAGTTTTAAATAGAAATACAAAAAAAAAAAAAAAAAAAAAAAAAAAAAAAAAAAAAGATGAATGCCTACCAGTAAGCAAAATAGATGTGTGCATTGAGAAAGGCAAGGGTTAAGTCCAGGCCTGGTTCTCAAGCTGAGATGGAACTGCCTTGTTTGAAGAGGACTATTTATTAACAAAGACTCTCAGTAGCCTGGTGTGGGTGAGGGGTGGAGAGCAAGCCTGAAATCCAGACAAGAGCCTTTGGTATGAGGGGAGATTTTCTAATTATTACAATCAGGAGTGGGGACCATTCCTTTATGACAGATGAAAATATATCCCCCTCCTCCCTCCCTAGAAACCCTTGAGTCTCGCCTCTAGGCCCTTTTAGTGTCTGCTTCTATAGCTGATGGCGGCAATCTCTTTTCCTGGGACTCTAAGTGTAGGACGTGGAGGAACCAGAACTCTAATTAGCAGCAGGGCCTATTATTGTTCCAATAAGGTTACCATTCAAGGGAAAGAAAAGCCTGTTTCCTTCTCAGGAAGCGTGTGAGGATATAGGCTCACATTGAGGAAAGCAATGCTAAAAGCATATTAGTTACATTGACCATGGGATGCCTGGTTTGTGAGTTAAAATCACCTGAATGACCTTGAAGGATCTGACATCTAGAAGGGATGCTCAAGACTTGGGTGGCCTGTTTGATCCTAACATATCACTACATTAACAGAAAAGGGGCTGGAAGTACAGATAACTACATGGTAGCAGGGTATCCTGACTGGAGAATTATAGATGATCTCATTTTGTATTTTCCTTTTTGAATATCTGCACTTTCTAAAGTTTGCTAATGACGACTTAGGCTGAGTCTAGAGTATACAGGTTGACAAAAGGGAGGAGGCATATTGCAGAGGCAGAGGGGAGATCAGAGAAGAGCTCGGAGTCGTGAAGCAGCGTGGGCGTCATGGAACACATAGTGCAGGCTGGCTAGGGTCAGCATTAAAAATGTTGTGTGTATATAACACATATATCATATATTTATAATCGCAGTTAACAATGACTCCAGCCAAATACAGGAGTGCTCATGTAATCATACTTGTCAAATTTGAGTAAGAGCAATAAAGAAATTATTAACCAAACTCTTACTTTCTCCTATTCATAAATATGACACGATTTTACATTTTGAAAACCAGTAACGGGGCTAGTGCGCCTGGTAGGGGACACTGGATTTATTCTATAGGGAACTGGGAGCCAGTGAAAGTGAGGATGTCCCATCTACAGATGAATTATAGAGAGGAAAAAGTTACCTATCACTTATTCCCTCCCCCATGGGTAAGTCAGTTACCTGGAGAGAATAGCAGATTGAAAGGTACTGTTCTGAAATGCTAACTGGTTCTTTCTACACGAGATGAACCCAAGACCAAATCGCATCACCCCAGACACAAATGCGATGGGCGGTTTTAACGCAGCGTGCAGTATTTTTTTTTTTTTTCAGGCTCGATGTGGAAATAACCAGAACTTATAGTAAACTGTGTACGTGCATGGTTATGTGAGAAAAGTGAAGCTGCTGCACGTGTTCCCAAGCTCACTTCGCTTCCTCCAGAAGCATGCCCGCCTGCCTCTCAGGCCACAGGCCGTATCTTATTACACAATTGTTGTGCAAAGCTTGAGAATTTTCTCTTTGCCTTTCCATGTCATGTTCAACAAATTCAAAGGATGCAAAGCAAATTGTTCATCCAGAAATACTTAATTTGAAAAATAAAAATATTTATCACTGGGCCTTTAAGATTATCCTGCTTTTTGATTTTCTTTTTAAACTGATTAACATTTCATCGGGTTTCCCTTTCAAAAGAAAATGGCACTGAAGAGACAAGGCAAGTTTTCCAAGCGACAACACTGGCTTTTCTGAAAGGGGAAAGGAATGTTAAGGAAATGGGGGAGAAAGCTTAAAAAGAGTGGAACACTAGCAAGCAGGGCCTCTTCTCCTTTTCACCTTAAGTCTTTTTTCTTTCCCATTCACAGCTTTGGGTCCTTTGTTTGTTTAACAAACCATTACAATCATAGCCAGTTCAATGGGAGGAATGTGAACTCTCTAAGTAGCTGTCCTTGCAATCCACATGTGTGGTCCATCCCCCAGCCCATCCGCAGGCGGCTTTCAAGTGCTGCTCGGCGCTCCCCATCGCCCTGGAGGCCAGCACCTTGCTCACAATAAGCCTCAATTTCCCACCGCTGCTGCCTGCTCCAGGCTCCTCCCCAGCAGCCGACAGCAATGTCTCAAGTGGCTCTCGCTCCCCTGCTTGCCTTGCAATCATCCTGTCCGCCCGGCTTGGGCTTGCCCCGTTCGGCTCTTGAGACAGACAAGGCCTGCTGTGTTCACCACCCCCCACCTGTTCACAGCCCACTGAATACAGGGCAGACACATTCCAGGATCTTCCTGGCTAGCACTCCGGGTCTTCTAACGTCAAGCACATTGTAAACAGAAGATACAGGAAGGACTACCCTCCCCACCACCCCAGCTCCCAGCCCTAATTAGAACTGCTAGTGCCTCTCCCAGGTCCTAGTGGATACGTTGGCCCCGTTGGGATGAATTTCAATTTCTTGGTCAATAAATCAAAATATTTAGTGACAATATTTTATTTCAGTAGGAGTTGGAATCCTATTTAACAAACTATTTCAGTTGAGCTCATAAAGCTCTCTCACGCTATTCTAGTAATTTCCACCTCACAGCCCTGAGAGATAGTTAGAAAGAAATCATTGTCTCCATTTGACAAATGAGGAAATTGAGGCTCAGAGGATTTAAGTGTACTGCCCGTAAGCATGGACTAATGAGATACTGCAAGTAACACACTGTCCTAAGCAAAACGCCTAGCACAGAGTGCCCCAAAAGCATTAGCTTCCACTAATATCATTATTGGTGATGATAATGATGATGAACAGAGGTTGCTCCCAAGTGTTCTGAACTAAGCCAGATGCTCTTTCAACTTATACTTTGCCATCCCTCCTAGTCACACTGTCTGTGTGAGTAGCGAAGTTCAGTAACAGCTTTTACAACAGTGTTTTCAAATAAAGCCTCAGGAAGTATGGCTGGATTGCCTCTTGGGGCTGGGATGTGATCAGCATCTTTCCCAGGCTTATGTTTCAGTGGACATCTGCCACAAAGAGAAGACAACCTCTTACACATCTTACACACACAAGTTACGAGTGTTGGCAGGGACAACTTACTTGTTTTTGAACCGACGGGGTTGCCTGCAAAAATTCCATAGATCTACATGTATTACTAGGCCGTGGCTGTGGGTCAGCAGAGGACATGCAAAGTGGCTACCCGCGTCATCAAATTCCCCGAAACGCGCAGTGCACTGAGCTTTAAAAGAACCCATCCTCCAGCATTTTGCAGTTTATGGGGGAAATATGTTTGTTTTCCACTAGAACCTTTTTGAAGTACCCTGAACCTCCAGCATGTTCTTGCCCATGATGTGTTTCCAAGCAATTGTTAATAAACGCGCTCGACTAGAAATAATCTTAAAACATGCGCACCTACTGAGTGACAGGAAACAGCAGCAGTGAGGCAGGTACCGAGTCCTCCCGGAAGTTTGTCTGAAGATTCAAACCTGTGAGAAGAGACCTTGCACATCGTCAGTGAATGAAGCTAGGAAAACATTCCCTCATTGTGCTATCCCCTGAGCTTCACGTCTAGAGCACACACACAACTGGTGATGTCCAGAGGAGATTTTCTAGAGTGTTTTTCATGCATTTTAATAGATGATCTTTAAGTACTCATATCCTTTGTCCTACTTGCACTGGATTAAGAGAAACTCTCAGCTTCTCCCCTGCTTTCTGCAAGTGGTAAAAAAGAACACATGAAATTGCTTATATAAAATATTCAAAACAGCACTCCGAGGAAATGATATTTTTTTTAAACCAACAGCATTAAAATGCCATAAAACAGGTATGCAAATCTATGCAATAACAGAACCTAAAACAAATTCTGCATGGAAAGAAAGTCCGCAAATAACCAGTTGGCACTCAACAAAGAGGCTTCATATAAACATATAGATTTAGCAAATATGCAGTCCAAGATAGTTGAAGTCTCCAAGTTGAATATTGAGTTAAATGCTTACTAAACCTGGCTATGCATTAGAATTAGCACAGAAGCCTTTTAAAAATACAGATTCCTGGGCGGCCAAAGGGCAAATCAGTGCAGGCTAAAACAGCATCACTGGGACCCCAAGAATTTATGTTTCCACCAAGTCTTCAGAAGCCAAGTCTACAGCCAGCTTTGTGCCACTGAACCCTGGTGAACAACTGGGAACCAGCATTTCCATTCACCAAGTAATTATCAAAGTTGGCTTCTTCCTATCAAGCCTATTCTAACCAATCGATCCTCTTTCAGGGAAAGCTTTTCAGGATTTTATTAACTAGTAAATAGGCAAATCTGTTATGGAACAAAGCCAGTTAATATCTCACTTATTTATTCACTTGTCTGTTTTCTTCTGTTAATTTGATCAAAGGGGTTATGCCCATTTATTTCGTATAAGAACATCCTTTTAAGTTAAAAACGGAAAAATCAAGTCCATTTTTGGACAACTGATGTCTTAAAAAGAATGCATCACAATACAGGAAAAAACTGGAGGTGAGCAGGTTGAGTCATTCAGAGAATTTGTTTCTAACATATTCCTTGTTTTGCCTGTATAAACACTTTACAAATCACCTTCATGGTCCATCTCTTTTCTCAAAATGCTCAACATTTAGTGTGGTGGTTTAATTGGGTGGTCTCCAAAGGCTTCTATAAATTTTTTTTTTTCAAAGACCTTTAAACTTTAAAGCAAAAGAGTAAAATTCTTCCGGATGATTCTTCCTTTGGGCTTAAGCCATCTCACAAATGGACAATACCAACTTATGTATTCAGAGAGGCAGGGTTCTTCTGCTTCCCAGGAAAGGGTGCACATAACGCGAGGTACGCAAACCAGGCAGTGAAGTAGCTTAGCTTCATTGTCAAAATATTCAAATTATCACAAAAAGAAAGCGATTCCTTTCTGAATTCAACAATACTCCTTTGCCTCCGAGGGCTCACACAGGAGCTTATTCTTAAGCTGTTCAATGTAAGCAGCACTCGTGAAAGAGGAGAACTCTGGCAGGGAGGAGATCAAGTCCTTCAGCTTTTCCCACCTGCCATCTCTGCGCCAGTCTAATGCTTAAATAGTTAACAATGCAACAGAGAGCTCAAGGCAGGCCCCGGCTGGGGGAAAACTGTGTGCAGTATATGACGATTTAATAAAGCAGAAAAGGGACAGGAAAAATAACACATCTCAGTTTGACAGGATGACTTGCAGACTGCATTTAGGGTCAGAATTTAGATTTCTAAAGCAGAGGAAAAATAGGTTTTCATACGTCAATTATTCTTTTTTAAGTATGTGGTTAAAAATGACCCCATAAAATTCAACATTCCTAATGATAAATGTTTCCGAGTTCCAGAATAACAAAAAGAATCACATTTTTCTAGGGGTGAAGACTGGCAGATGGTAAACGGATTAGTTAATTGTTTTAAATACAGGAGAAAATATTTTTGGGAAAGTTTGTTTATTCGTTAATAACAAACACCAAAGTTCATGAATCTAGAGTGTATGAGTTCCAGGATGGGTTTTCACCGTCACAATATGTTTTTCTAGGCATTTGCATCTGAGAACAGCATTTAAGAACACATCTTTTTTCTCTCTTAATGAACTGGTTTAGCCGCCCGCTGGGCATTCACTGAAACCCACACTGAACAAAGGGATTTCCTTCCAGTTTCAGCTCATTCATGTCTAGCTACTCCTGGTTTTACTTAAGCAAATTCTCCAAACTGACTTTCTTATTTCTAATGATTTGAGTGAGAAAGAACTGGGCAACCCTTAAACACTGGGAAGTCTGCCCTGGTTTTCAGTGAAAGAATCCTCTAGATTGAAGATGTGCAAGATTTATTTTTGAAAAGCCTCTCGAATACATTTTATTTTCCAGATGGACAGGAGACCACCCGATTTGGTAGATTACAAACAAGTAACTCTTATTTCAGCGAGATGGATCATGGTGAACAATGAGATTATATCTTTGCAATGAAGACCCCGAGTGGGATATTCAAATTCACCTCCAGACAATGATGTCATTTTAAAGGCGACACCGGAGGGCGTGGCATTAAGGGGTGACTCGAAGTTGGAATAGATTTGTGGGCCTGGTCTTGTACCTTCTCACATTATACATGATCTCCCTAGGGGAACCCATGCACAACCCAAGATTACAACTACTCCTTGAAGTCAGAAGCCTCCCAAATCTCTATCTTCAATCCTGAACTTTCTTTCAGATTCCGGATGAATACATTTATCTCCCTCCTGCAACTCTTGGGATAACCTTGAGCGCCCCTTGGGCTTCAAACTTGAACCCCAGACCTGCTCCTTCTCCAGCACTGCGTGTTTAGCTAATGGCACCACTATAAAATGGCCATCAGGTCTCCTAGATGCTCACCAGGTGATGGCTACTCTTTTAAGCACTTCTTACCCTCAACAACTGCATGAGCAGGTAGAACAACCGCATGAGTAGGTAGCATTAACCCTGTTTGACTTATGGGGAAACTAAGGCTTAGAAGTTATGCTGATTTGCCCATGACCCTAAACCCAGCAAGCAGTTGAGCTGGGCCATGAACCCAGGGTACGTGTCAAAAGTCAACCTCTTCCCATGTCACTTCTTAGCCTCTCCAAACTTTGAAGCTCTGGGTTCTAGATTGTTCTCAAAGATTAAGCTTTACAATCCATTATCTCTCAAATCTGTTTCCTTCTCTTAATTCCCACAGCCACGTGCTGTTTGGATGCTGTTTGCCTTTACTGGGGCCTCCACATCAGCCTAGCACAACAACTGTGCAATTTTACTTAGTTTGAAATCCCAATGAGTTTCCTTTCTAGCTCATTTAAAACAGGTAGCAGGCTTTGTATTTTCACCCAGCTGAAGACAGAAGCATCCTGAAGAAGTCTGTCTTTGTTAGCAATATCTAAACCCAGAGAGGAAATTCTGCTGGACTTCTGGGAGAGGAGAAGGAGAGGGAGAGGCAAAGCTGCAAAAACGACATTCTCCTTTCCATTCCCCCATGGCCAACAACCCCCCATCCCAGGATCTGATAAGGAGATATGTCAGCCCCCAGAAAGAGAGGCCCCTGTGGGGCTCTGTTCCCCTGTGGCAATGAGTAGAATCCTTGAGAAGACAGCTGAGTGATGAGTGTGCCTCTGGAAGCCAGACGAGAGGCCCAACAAGAGGCCCGAGGTTCCCAGCCTTCACTGGTGGCCCCGAGACAGATAGTTACAAGGATTCAATAAATCACTACTTTGATAAACTGAAGGTCAGAGGTGGTCATGAGATGAGGGTCCTCATCTTCCAGAGGCCATGAAAACCTCCACGTTTCAGGACACACTCTATGGGGGAAGGGGAAGCACGTAAAACTTACTGATGTGGAATTTTCCACTAGGTTGGCAGGAGGGGGACTGGAGTCCATTTTCATTACTGGGAATGAAAATGGTAAAGCGTCTTGCATACTTGACGATGTGAGGTGAAATGCAAACTTGTGGGGCACCTCAATGAAGTGCAGAATCTTGGAACAGTGCATATCTGCGCTATAGAGTAGCTACAACTGTTGGAACTGGAGCCGATCTAGTTTTCAAAGAAGGCCGCAACTCGGTTAGAGAGAGGAGCAAGGCTCTGCACAGGCCCTGGTAGCCTAGGGCGGAGGGGCTGGGTGGCAGGGAAGGCAGCAGGCCTATGCTTTAAAACCCTGAGGCAGATAGAGAAGGAAGGAAGGAAACAAGGGCAGATGTTAAGAGTATACTCACAGGATTAACTCCTCTGATTCCTATGCAAATACCTAGAAAGGGAGAGACACAAAGTTATCTTTAAGGTCTTTATCTTGAGCTCTGAATTGCTAAAACAAACAAAAACACCAAAGTGGGGGGTGGGGAAGGAAGTCTACTTGGAAGAGGAAAGAGAGCAGCTGGTGCTGCTGGAGTCATGAGACCCAGGACACCCCTGTTTCCCAAGCCTGGACGTGCCTCCCAGCGTAGCATGTTGGCACGGAGCAGGACTGCTGATTTCCATAAGATGGAAATGATTGCGTGCTAGAAACTGAGGTGCTTTAGGGGAGGGAAGATTCCTAACCCAGAAGAAAGGATATAAATCCTGAATGTGTCACATTTGTTGACTGCAAGACGTTGCAGTCATGGTCGGTACTTGCAGCACCAAATGGGCACGTCTAAGGGATCTGGGCTTTGAAGTCAGTCACGTTATCCAAACAAATTCCACTTCAGTTCTGTGGCTGAATGTCTGAGTTCTTCAGAAGCAGCTTATAAAGGCCCTGGTGGAAACTGAAGAGGATTTGAGATATGCCAAATATGTGCTGGCCATTATGCAGAGACTAGAATTTTTAGTGCCGAGAGCTCTGACTGGGAGAACTTCACATTCCTAAGAATCAGCAACCAAGGGACCCCCATTTTCCTGCCAAGTAGGCACACTATTAAACCTGAGGGGCATGTCCAGAGGGAAGAGACTTGGGAAAGGAGCTGCCTGGGGAGCAAGTGCCCTGTGGCAGAGGCAGAGATTGCCAAGACGGTCTCCTAGGGGTTGAGGCACAAAGCCCCCTCTACCTACTTTAGTTATGAGGAGGTATGAACTCTGTGTTACACTGTACCCAGGAAGAGAACTCACAAAGCAAGGAACATGGAAGCTGGGGTGTGTTGTGCAAGCAAGCAGAGGTTGCTTGCTTTATCAAAAGTGGGGCCACTCTGGTCTCACAAGGGTCTAGCTTCAGTTGGCACAAGATTCCCTTGTCACACTAGATAGGTGAGACCCAGAAGGGAAGACAGAGACAGTTAGTGAACACCAGCATGGCCCAGCCCCAACCCCACTACCTAACATGGTCAACTACCTACAGGAGGCTACTTTCTAATCTGTGTTGCCCAGAACTTGGCAGGGATGGGGGGTTGCATGGGAAGGAATGCTAGACTACGGAGTACCAGTCCACTCTACTGGCCCAAACTCAATTTTCACGTGGCTTCCTTTAAACGCACCACCAGCTTGGTGAGTCAATCAGGTCAGTGTAGAGAGAGGTTTCCACATGCTAGAGGCAGATCCATATTGGTTCCCCAGTCTCTGTTTTCGGACTGCTCCCCTTCATTCTAATGACAATGCTGCTGTCACAGTGATTCTTCTAACATGCAAATATGTTCCTGTCACTTGCCTGTTTGGAATTCTTCAAAGGTCCCGTTAGGTTTCTGTCGACTGCAACGAAAAATCCTGTCTAATCAAAACCACTGATTACGTTTTTAATCAAGAGAGCAGTATGTTCAGCCTTGTGTTATAGAAAGAGAAGTCAGAGAGCAGACATACCGATTATCCTCTGGATTTATCAGTTGCATACATCGATGGCCGAACAGTAACTCACATAGCAAAACAAACGAAAAACCCAACTGTACACACATGCACACACAAATAAATGCAATAACTGAACTCTGAAATTCAGTATAACACTGTTGGCAGAGCATTCTAAATCTTCCCTGACTCAGAACTACATCCTCGTGCACTTTGATTTGAATATGTGGGGCAAATGAGAACCATTTTAGGGAAACGACGCCAGATGACTATGATCTTAACATGATTCCAATTTCCGTGGTGATTGTGTGTTTTGTCAATCACCTCTAATCCCTATTGCTGGAACAAAAGGCGAAAATTACCTTGGTAAATGCCACATCGTGGATCAATTAAGTTATTCCCCAAATAAAGTATTCTTTGTCATAATATAAGCATGCCTAACTTCTAGCATTATTTGAAACACTGATAGAGAAATGTGCTTTCTTTTCTAAATTTAACACTCCTATGTTATGATCCCCGACTCCCTTCACCCGCACACTGCTTTCATTTTAACTTTCCGTTTTGTTTGTTCATGGAGGGAAGTAAGGACATTTTAATGATACTCCTAGATAATACATTTTCTTACCTAAAAGTGGTACAATAATGGGTTTTACTCTACCTTAGTCCACTATGCGGCATGCATGCTCTACTTAATACAAGGTTTTGTTCCTACAGTTAGTTAAAAAAAACCAACCAGCTGAAAGTACTTTTTAGATCCAACCTAAGAAAGACAGTGTGGTCTAGTGTACAGGGGACTGGCTTTGGTGTCGGATGGGTCTAAGTTTGAATGCTGGCTCTGCTACTCGGAAGGTGTGTAACCTTAGGTAAGTTGCATAACTTCTCTAAGCCTCAGTCTCCTTCACCATAAAATGGGATATCTACCTATCTTGCAGAGCTCATCTACGAATATGCATAACACATGTACCTATAGAGGAACAATGACTGGTACTGAGTCCAAAGTGCATGTACGAAGTAGATGTAGCCTATGAATAAAAAGTGTTAGGGCCGATTTCACACAACTGGTAAGTTCACACTTAGGAAACATGAATAACTGTTTTCTGGAATAATATATATAACAGAAAGTCAGAGTATAAATAACGGATTCACTTCATCATAATACAATTCTATCTTCTAGTTTGTGTTTATAAAATAAATTTCTATTACCTCTGTACTTTTAACATTTTCTCACACATTTGAGAAATTCCTAGATTCTTAAGCACTGTCATCCTATTTGCCGAGCTTTTAATGGCAATATTGTGTTTAACTAGAGAAAACAGTTACAAATGGGCCTCGCATGAACTAGTCCTACAGGTGCCATAAAGTTACCCAAATGGTATAATGAAATGCTTAGCGCATTTGGGGATTTTGCTGTATTTTTCCTTCTGAATGTGTTGATAGGGTAGTGGACTAGTTTTAATTAGAATCATTTGGAGAACAGGAATCCAAGCACATGACCTAATAGTCTCCTATTTAGCCTTCCACCCAAGGCAGCTGTGAACAGTCGTCCTAGAAGTCAGCCTCAGTATAAAGAACAGAGCGGAAAGTGGTTTATCTAGTGGGAGGTTTGTTGGGGAGGGGGGTCAAATGTAAAATAGGATATAAGAAAACTTACGAAGACAACTGGAATTTAAAAAAAAAAAAATACAGCATTATTACCGTCAAGGGCATTTTGCAAAAAAACATCTGGAGAGAGGCCAAGAGTTATGGTTAAGCAACAGCACTGCAGCTGCAAAACAAGTGAGGGTTGCTGTAGGGTGACATGGCCTTGAACCTAGAACTAATGTATGTGACAGGGAAAAACAACAGAAAATGTTAGATATGAAATTTAAAGCTGGAATTTGGAATCGTTATCTTGAAAGAGGCAGTTAAAACAAACCCTAATCTTTACATGAGTGGTGGAAAATAAGAAATAAAAATTTCTGATATATAATGGGGACTCTGCCAACCACGCATTCCCTCAAATAAACACTGGATCCTGCGACATAACCTATTTCACAACTCTAAGAAATCTAGCAAGCTGAGAATCATCTTACATTAGGATTTGAGGAGAGTGGTTTAAAGACTTTGAATTGTAGCATATGTTACCTTCTGGATATTTGATTTAAGATAAAACCATTTAAAAACATATTTTTAAAATAGAGATCACAAAATTTCTAGTGAGCAAGCCATGATAAGTAAAAATCAACTGTACAATGCCTATGGTTTCTAATTTAAGACAAATAAATAGCCATAATCATTCTTAGCGTGTCCCCTTGATTTTTTTAGAGTGAAAAACAGGCTTTTGTTAAGTCCACAACTTAATCCCCCAACCTTATTTTTCCCTCAAGGCCTGAAGTTTCTCAAATGTAAATTCTCAAAGTCTTTTCTGGGACATAAGCCTCTCTACTGCGGAGGAGGCGGAGGCTCTGGTATGTGCTGTAATGCAAGGAGAGAATGAGAATACAGAGACAAGACTGACGGTGGGAGCACGGGGGGCAGGATCTGGAGGGGTCGACATAAGACATATTTACCTAGGTGAGGTACAGATGAGTTTCAGATGTGACACGAGGCAGAAGCCACATCAGACGTGAGGGCAATCCTAGAGAAAAAAATATGTATGTATCAAAAAGTTTTTTTTTTTTTTTTTTTTAAACATCAAGAAAAACCACATTGGTACTATATATGCTGACATTTACTTATACAGAATTTGAGTTCGAGGATACCAGGGGTCAAAAATCTGTCGCCATCAATATGCTATGATATAATGCCATATCCTAGCATTCCAGAGTCATGCATTTAAGTCCTTAAGGGATTTTTAGTTTTAGAGAGGCTATACAGTGATGTGGTTAAGACCACAGTATGGTGCCAGACAGCTTAGAGGCCCATCTTGGTGCCACCTGGAACCACTTAGAGACCTCATGCAATTGATTTTCTCTCTCTACCTCAGCTTCCTCTCCTGTAAAATGGAGATCATGATTCTGCCCACAGCACATGACCCTTTTGAGAATTAAAGAAGCTAATTTGAGATAAATGCTTGACACTGGGAAGCAGGGAGTATTTGTGTATTTCTAATTATTTTTCAGAGAGACCCCCCCAAGTAAAAATACCTCACAGCCTCAAGCAGAAATTATAAGATAATCATGGCTGGGCACAGTAGCTCACACCTGTAATCCCAGCAATTTGAGAGGCCAAGGCAGGAGGTTTGTTTGAGGGCAGGAGTTCGAGACCAGTCTGGGGAACATAACAGGACTCAGTCTCTATTAAAAAAAAAAATTAAGATGATGAGAACGTTTTAAAGCATATCAACTAAGAAGAACACTATTCCTTTGGGTAAAGGAGACAGGAACCCGAGCAGGGATGAGAGTAAAGAAGGGGAGGGAAGAAAAGGCCACTAAAAGGCAAAAGATGAAAAAAAAAAAATTTTTTTTTTTAAACCCACTTCGGCTTAACTTCATTTTTTTTTTTTAAGTCAAGACCACTGCTATCAGCAGAGGCCCAGGGAAAAGAATTTGCTGTGCAGACCCAATCATTCACCTTGAGATAAGGAAAACGACAGAAACTGGACAGCAGGTGACAAGAGGGCAGCAGTGAAATGTTTACAGACCGAAAAGAGATGGAAACATAGCTTTCAGTGAAAATAATGAAGACAGGAAATAGATCAATAACTTAAACCCATCAACCCTCACCTCTACAGATATAAATTCATTACTGATTAGCAGTCCAAACCAATTGGATGAATAATTGCGCACCACCCCTAAGTAACCCCCTTCTCTGAGTAGCCCACATTGATGCCTTGGCCAAAAAGGCCGCTGGTATGTGTTTTTTAAAATAACAAAACCCTATCAATTTGAATCTTACTAATGCAAAAGGCATAAACTTTTACGTATGAGCTGAGTTTGAGTTTTTCCTCTGGAATTGAGGTTCTTCCTTGCAGAAAAATGTCTCACTAAAGGAGACAATATGTAATGCTGCAAAGTAAACATTTAAACTACTGAAAACATACTATTTTAACAGCCTCATTAATATACAGATGATTAATTACAAATGATTGTCTTTAATTATTACAGACGATTTTTATAATACTCGTATCTGATTTTATACAACTGATACATTAATTTTAAATTATTCTGTATTTCAGAATAGCTTTCTATTCTAGCAATTAAATCTAGTGGGTAAGGACGACGTCTCATTTTCAATGGCTAGATAAACGTTTATTAAGGCTGCTTTATTTAGTCAGTCTGGGTGCATGGGAAACTGTCTAAAAGGGAAGTATCTAGTGTTTTTCTACTAGGAAGTTTGCTAACGTAGATTAATACACATGCAAACACGGCGACATAACATATGTCCATCCCCAAACCTATTTTGAGGGTTTGACTCTTAAGTTACTTGAAGCTATTCTTCTTGGATATTACAGCAGTCTGCAGTCTGAGGAAAAAGGCTCTTTTCTGGAAAATCACATAGTTGAAGTTATCTGATTCTATAAGCATAGCAAGAACACAGTTTTTAACTGAGTTACTTCCCTGGCCTGTCTGTAGTTCTTTTTTATTAATGTAGACAAAGATATGCCTCATCGCTGAAAGCTGAAACATCAAATGGAAAAGGGCAGTTTGATTTCATACATTTCCCTCCACCCTCTGCCTCTCCCTACTTCGGTGTTATGCCACACAAAATTACTTTCAGAAACTAGGAGGGTTGAGCAGCCAAGTTATGAAACCTAAGTGCTATGCTTAATGCTTTTTTTTAAATCTTCAAGTTAATACTTATGAGAGTGAGAGTCTACTAATGATCAAAGTCATGGTAATTTTCATGTTTCATAAGAAATCTCAAATCTCAGCAGAATCACAACCCGCTGAATCTACCTTATTTGTACAACCCATACAAACAACCCTTCCTCCACGAGATTCCTCCTGCAATTCACACATGTGTAAACCTCTATTTAAAATTTTACCTCTACCACTAATCAAAACAGAAGTGCAAATAGATTTCTTTAAAAATAATCTTGGTACTGAAAATAAAACAAAAATAACATGGAAAGTAAAATATTAGCCCGTTCAATGTACTTGTCTGCTTACTTACTCCCTCTTACAACACTGTCTAAAACTTTCCATTACGATTTTGATAAGTTATTTTTCCAAAACGTATTGACAACAATTTCTCAATTCAAGTTCTGGCTTTAAAAAGAAATAGGGTATAAGTTGAGAATAGCTAAGAAACTGGGTTTGTCCTAGGGTTCTGTGAAATCAGACTAGTCAGTGCTTTAGAATCAAGATTTCCCTTAGACTTTTCACTAAGGAGCAAAGCTGTGTGTTTGCTTTCTCTGATAAGGAATTCAAAACATGCAATGGTAGTAAATCTGGTTAAAGAAATTGTCAAGGGAGGTTTTGAGTTTTGTTTTTATTTAACATTACATCACAGAATTAAATCATGTAAAATGGCACCTTTATCCATCTTATTCATCTCAATCACTAAATTTGGTCAAGGAAAAGTCTACAGATTCTAAATGAAAAGCTTTTTCATCTCCTTAATGGAAATATCTAAACATTATGCTGAGGTTTATTTTTAGGAAAGAATAACGGAGACGAGAGCTTGGACCTGAAAAGGAAAATGCCACACACTGGTGATGCTTCCTTCTAGAGCCCTGGACTGCCTGACAAACTTGCTAAAGCAAGAAAGTGCATAATAGCTCTCCACAGAGGAAGAGATTTTAAAAGCAATAGCAACAATCAGGTAACAACAGACCAATCAGATTCTCCCAAAATTTAGTATTTGCAGCTGAAACTGGGATAAGTAATTACTTTCAAAGGAATGTACAGGGAGCCATCAATCCCCATTCATTCAGCTTGCATTTACTGAGCCAAGAGCTCTGCTAGGCTTGAGATATAAAAATGAATACAACACAGCTGCTTTACTTCCAGCTAAAAGAATACACCTAAATAAAGAGCTACAGGGCCATGTGTTAAGTGCTGTAATAGAGGTGTGCACAAAGGACTGGGGGTAGGGGGGCGGGCAAAGGAAGAAGCCATAAATTCTTCCTGGGAAATCAAGCAAGTGCGGGGAGATGTGAAAGAAGGTATCTCAGAGATGTTTCCTACTGATAAACTCAAGAATTTTTCTTTGGTGTGTTCTAAAAAGTTAGGTGATAATTTTAAGATGTATCAACTGGTGCAATGTCAGGCACTAATCTTGGTCTACTAGTCAGTTTCCGTTTGACACAGACTTCCAGTTACAATATCCCAAGAATATAAATTTTTTAAAAATTAAAGGATTACTGTAATATTCCCATGCAATGCACACAATCCAGAATGTCATGAATTGCTGGCATGAGTGGAACGTAGCTTCCAAGTTCAAAGATGTTTTAAAATATAATGAATGAAAGATGGATTTTAGAGTGTTTCCAGATAATATCAATAATGCTTATTGTCTCACTGTTTTCTTTCCTCTCAAAGCAAAAATAAAAGAATCACCTAATTATATCATGGTTAATATTTGTTTTTCTCTACTTCTGTATTTAAAAAAAGAGGGAGGGTGTAGAATCAACTTCTACTTAACATCGTTTACTATGCAGACCATATTCCTACTTATAACATAGTTGTGACAAAACCTCCATTGTTCATTGCACACTAGCCCCAAACTTGAGTAATTCTAATGTAAGCATGAGAAACTCCCGTCTCCTTTGGGGTGAATTTCCCAATTCCTCTGTGTTAAATTGAGGTCTAATTTTCCCTGTGCCTGGTTTTCACAAGAAGGTCCATTCCACCCCATGTGCTCCTTTTCAGCTGTCAATAAACAGAGGCAGTGAATTCCCCACGGCTTCACAAAGCTAGTTAGGCAGAGCCATTCATTCCTTCAGGAAAACAGGGCATTGATTTCAGCGAGTTCCCAGGGAGCAGCTGCAACAAAGAGATCAAAGGCCCACCTCTCTCTCCCTCCATTGCTTTCATTAGGCCCAGCCCAGACAAACAGCGACAGGTTTCCTTGAGACAAGGAGAGGGCCCAGCAGACCACCTCATGGTTCAATTCAAATTCATCCGTTTCCTACATTCCAGTGACAGTCCAGAATGCTAACCATGACAAACCAGCACAATCACCCGGCATAATATACTGCTCACTAGTTCATCCAAGGTCAGAGGGAAAAAACAAGCACGGGGGGGAAGTCCTCTGCTTCTAGGGCCTGCTGAGCTTCAATGGCCCCCTGACATTCCATAAATAAACTTCTCCCTCTCACTCTCCCTTTCTTCCTCCATCCTATAACCCTACAAGCGACAATCTCACTGAACGGTCTGCAACTTCTTTCATGTCACCGTACCCAAACTACATGGAAACTTTATTCTCAATCGACCAGTGCGTTCTAATAGCCAGAGGAAGATGGCTATCCATGCAGCCTCTATTAGTTCACTGCTGTGCTAAAGCCAGTCTGCGACACCCAGTAAGATGCTATAACGTGATGAATTCAGAGCTGCAGTTTCTAGGGTTACCCTGATCTCCAGAGCTGCAGTTTCTAGGGTTACTCTAAGGGGCGATTTCCAGAGAAGGAAGCACAACTTAAAGACGGTTAGTTTGCATAAATTCTGTTTGCATAACAAAAGTATGAACAGAGAT